TAGTTGCAAGACTCCTATTTTTACATGGAAGTGAACAAATTTGATGAAGTATTAAAAAATATCAATGTTCAATCGATATTTAAAGTATTCCATGACATATTTCTTCCATAACGAATGATACATTCAACTGTGATTTTCTTCCAAGAACAGTGTGATATGTGTTTTATGACACTGGAACAAAGTAAAAGAATAAGTATTAAAATGTAATTATACTTTGAAATATTTCGTATTTTCATTGTAAAAGTATAATAGGTTAAACAATATAATAATATAAAACAAGCCTTGGAATTTTCATAAATTACATTTACAAAAGTAATAAATTTTCGTTTTTTTTAAATAATTATCACAGCGTAGTTATTATGCACTTGTATTTATATGCTCTCAATATTTGCACTATATGCAGAATATCGTCTATGAATGTGAAATACATACGCGCGCGTGAGCGTCCACGGACACGCTCCACACACGCACTCACTGCACCACCATATAACAATGGTGGTGGTGGTGGTGGTGGTGTATTACCTTTTACAATGTAATTTTAAATTAGAACAAATACATCTTTGTGGATAAGTTAACTACATATTATAACCACAAAACAAGTAAAATATAATATTAGTTACTCACAGTTTTAAGCAAGCTATTTCATCCAAGTAATATAATCTTGTCGACGTCGTATGCAAAGTCCGAACGTAAAAATCATCAGAAACTAAATTCTTCGTTCACTGCGTCTTTCTCTTCCTCATAAACTGGGCCATAAATGGGAAAATCCAGAATTTTCTTTTACTGGATTAAAAATACACGTAGAAAAAGAGGCACAGAACTCAAATATCACGCATTACAACTTTACACACAACATAGCATGGCTTCGCATGACTTCTACAAGCATTCCAATATGTTCCTTCAGGGCGATATAGGCTATGGAATAGATGGCGTTGCATACTTCCCATAAAATTCCTTCAGATCTCAAACTTATTTTATTCACCTGATGTATTAAAATTCGTTCAAATCGCCTGATCTTTTATTATAAAATTATTTTATCCTGTAATTCTTTTAGTTGGTATTAATAGCGAATAAAATTATGCGATCGTTAATGTACAAAGAAAGAAGCAAAGTTTATTGTTCAAAACTTCGGACATAGGAAGATTCTCATTTCCTCGCAATTTATTCGTATTAGATAGATAAGTATGTTATACTATAAAAATTTACTAAATCCACTTAGAACTTTATTCTTCTTCCGTATTTATGACTTCTCCTGAAAAAAATTTTACATTATAGCGTAACGCTCATAGATAATGAAAGCAATAATGCTATTAAAATTATTAATCATTATACCTAAATATCAATTAATATTGTAGAAAACAATTGGAAAGAACATGTTGTACAACCAATTCTATTAAAATATAGAACAGATCTAAATTCATTGTCAATTCCATTCTATTATCGTATCGTAGACAATAATGCGACTAACATTATGTCTAAGAGATTAAAAAAATATTATATTAAAATCCTTATTGGTAAAAATACGTTAAATGTTCAGTTTAATTTTAAACTATATCAAAATTATTAAAGAGAGGGTCGAATTTTAAGTGCTATAAATCGTTCAAAGCTATGGTTTCACCTCTTATTGTTACATCACGTTGTTAGTTATATAGCAAACATGTGATAAAGATACCTGCGTATTTTTTATTGTATTACACAACTCGAAAGGCATATAATACTTATAATAAAAAAAACTTTGATCTTTAAATTTATTAAGTAGTAAACGATATTATAGCATAAGGTGAAAGTTTTTCCGAAGAATCTTAATATTCTAACCTTTACCTTTTCATTCTCAAACTTCATTTGAGATTGACGAATTAACTGCAATTACGGAAGATTAAGTGAAAACTAAAACAATAAGTTAAGCAAGGTTAACATATTTTAGAGAAAATATGTAAAAAAAAAGAAACTAACGTTTTAAACTATCTTCCAATATAAAGCCATAAAAGCAACACTGCAATATAATAAAAAGGAAAAAAGAAACTCTATAAAATATTCATGTCTGTACGCTAACATGATCGTTATTCATATTGCAATACTTAGAATTTGCAATGCTGAATCAATCTAGAATTTAGTAAATAAAAGGGAATTATTAACGTTGTACTGTAATGTATGCCATATGTATTTGGACAATAGAAAAATCTCTATTTATGATAAGAGTTCCTCTAAAATATTTAAAGCTTTTAACAACATGTAGGTATATTGTAAAGATTTTTTTCAACATTTGTATTACATATATAAATATGCGTTCAAGTTATTCAAAAGGTATAACTGACAATGATAATAGGGCGAACAATAAATTTGCTCACTTGAAATAAGTGAAATACCAGAGACTATAATAGAAAATTACAACTATCACAACTACATTGAAATAATTGATTCAAAATTGAATATGTAAAATACAATATATTAGGAATCTTGTGTGTATTAGTTAACAAATTACTTTAATTTTTTGGTTTAGCCAATCAAATTAAAACTGAAACTTGTTTAAGATAGTAATGCAGAAAAAAAACTTCGTTTGTTCAACTGTACAAATTAATTTAAAAATTATATTTGTCTTTTACATATTTTTAAAATCATTTCGT